TGCCGTGCGTTGGGAATCGGCTGGGCACACCCTGCCTGATTTCCTGCTCCAGCGGCGGGCGCTTGGCGCTGCAGCCGCCAGGAAGTTTTTCTCAGCACCGAGGGAGGAGAAGCCTTCATCGGCCAGCCAGCCCTTCCAGCACAGTGCTGGAAAGCACTTCCCGTTTCCTCCCAGGGGATGCTGCTCCCAACCCCTCCCCAGTGCCTTGGCTGCAGTCCCGCCGTTGTTTTGGTCCTTCTCAAGCGGCCTTGGCGATAATCAGTGTGCCAGGGGCGGGCATCAACACCAAACACGTGGATATCGCACATCTCTGCCCTCCCTGGCTCTGTGTCCTTCCCTTTCCCAGTCCCACGAGCAATTCCTGCAGTCCCTCTGCAATTCCTGCTCTCCCCTTTCTTCTGTAGCTGCTGGCATTGGAAGTTAAGGGCTGAAATAAAGGCTTAAAATCCCCCCCCCATTCTTGTAGGGATGTGAAATAAAGGCTTAAAATCCCCCCATTCTTGCAGAGACGATGCTAAGGAGTGAAATAAAGGTTTCAAATCCCCCATATTCTTGTAGGGACATCCTAAGGGGTGAAATAAAGGCTTAAAATCCCCCCCATTCTTGCAGGGATGTGAAATAAAGGTTTAAATCCCCCCCATTCCTGCAGGGACGTTGCTCAGCCCCCCAGGCAGCGTTCCTGCAGTGAGGAAAGGGACAGAAGGACATCCCTGGATAAAGCCAAACCTGCTCTCAGCAATGAAAGAAGAGAATTCCTTCCCTTGCACTGAATCAAGACACTGAGCCCACCCCCTCCTAGAGAAAATGTGGTGGTGGCACCTGGCAAAGCAGAGCTGGGGACTGTTCTGGGGGCAGGGATGAGTCAGAGCAGAAAGAGCTCCCTGTGGGACCCATCCGGGTGGATCTGGGGATGGGGAGAGGGGAGAGGGAGTGCTGAGTGGGAAGCTCTGAGCCACGCAGGGAAAGCTTCCTGAACTCAGCAGAGAAATGCCAAGGGAGGAAATGTCTCTGCAACAGGAGAGGATGTGGAAATTCTTCCCTGGGAGGGTGCAAAGCCCTGGCAGAGGTGCCCAGAGCAGCCCCTGGCCAGGCTGGATGGAGCTTGGAGCAGCCTGGGACAGTGAGAGGCGTCCCTGCCATGGCAGGGTGGCACTGGATGGGCTTTAAGATCCCTTCAAACCCGAATCACTCCATAATTCTGTGATTCTCCGTGTCTGGAGTGGAGCACAGCTCTCTGCTGCTGGCAGGAGTCAGGAGCAGAGGATGGGATGGGCTCACACCATCGGTGCTCACACAGAGACAAAGGGAAGGGTGACACCCTGAGCTCTGTGCTGTCCCCCAGCACCCCCAGAGTGGCTGGGACAATTCCTCCTCCCTCTCTGCAGCCCTCAGCTGTCACCTTGATTTTTTAAGATTTTCTAAACCTTCTGAGGTTGACATTCTTGTAATGAACTTTCTCATACACTTCCTGTAAATAACTGATTGTTTTGCATTCTTTTATGGAGGAGGAGAAATCTGATGGACTATTGGTTTGTCCAGTGGAGACCTGCCACCGTCACCCTCCAATCCACTGCAGCTTTTGGGAAATCTATAAATACTGGGGTGAGAAAATAAATTTCCCTTTTTTCTTCACCTGGAGAGCAGCAGTGGTGTCCTGTAGTGCCACTGAGATTCTCTGATCTGGCAGACCATGCAGGCTGGGCAAAGGAGGGCCGTGCTGTGGAGAGGGGAGGGGGCACAGCACAGCACCCCCGGCCCCCTGTGCCCATGGGGAGAATCCATTGGATCCATGGAGCGGCCCTGCAGCACAGGATTGCTCCTGGATTGCTGGAATCCATTGGATCCGTGGATTGCTGGCAGCTGGAAGCCAGCCCAGCCTGCAGCTATTTCCAGCAGAGCTGTTCCTGGATGAAGGAAATCCAGAATGAAGCAGCAATGAGGCTTTTCACACCCTCTACATGGAGACTCCTGACAGGTTTTTTTTTCTCTCCTTAATGAGACAAGCTGATTATTCATTTATCCTTCATCCCCGCTTAGAAGCAACTGGGGCAAAAAATAATTGATGGCATTACACGGCCTTGGGGAGGCAGGGAAGGGGGATAAACAGGGAAAGCCTTGAGCTGCTGCCATCCTCACTGAGTGTGAGCCTCACTGAAGGCATTTTCTGCTCAGGATGTGGCCACTGAAGAGAAGCTTGGACTCCAAAGTGCAGTGAGTGAAGCTGAGTGCAGCAGGGAATGGGTTGCCATCCTCTCAAATGGTACAAAAAGAGGATCCAGATCCCAGACTCAGCTCTTGAAACCCAGCAGCACCTTCCTGAAAGAGTGAAGTGAAACTGGACTGCCTTCCCAGGTCTGGTTCAAGGAATTTGGGGCTGTGAGGATGTGAGAGCTGAGAGTTGCTCCAATATCGGGTGCAGCATCTCTCACCCAAGCTGCTGCTGGGGATTTTATTTTGGGTGAGAACCCAATTAATTAAATGGTATTAAACTATAACTGCTCTGGGGATCTGAGCCTGCCTTCCCCTGATCCTTGCTCCAAGGAAGAATGAACTTTGGTTTGGATTTTTGCTAAGTCGTGTCTATGCTAAGTCAAGAACTTTTATTTCTTCTTTTTCTATTGTTTTGGTTTCATGCTCTGCCAATGAGGGGGTTCCCAAAAGAAGCTGGAGAGTGTAGCTGGGACAGCTGATCCCAAAGGAATATCCCACAGAGGGAAAGTCATTCCCAGTATAGAATTTGGGGTTCAGGAAGAGTTCTGGCATCAACCACATGCGTGATAAACAACTGCATTGCGCATCACATGTTCGGGTTGTTTTCCCTCTCTCGGTTAATTGTAATTACTGTAAATATTTACCGTAATTACAGCGTTTGGCTTTGTTGTCAATAACGAGCATTAATTAACGGCGGTTGCCATGGCAACCCAGCCCTCCGCCCGCCAGGNCCCCAGGCCCGTGCTGCTGCCTTTTGTTTCTGTGCTGAACCCCCACAGGCAGCTGGGAGTCTGTGGAGCCCAGAAGGAGGAAGGCTGGCCCTGCTGGGGATGTACTCACTGCTCCTGCACTGCCTTGCTGTAGGCCCCCAGGTCCAGGGTTCTGCGGATCCAGTCACACAGGTGGGAGCTCTCCCCAGGGCAGCGAGGGAATCCATAAACCCCTGGGCAGGACAGAGCCAGTCACCAACCTGGGCCCTGCTGCTGCACAGGAACCTGCTCTTGCCCAGCAGGAGCAGAGTCACCCAGGGGATCAGGCAGATTTTGGCCCTGCAAGTTCTCACACAGCCCCTCCTGCCCCTGAGCTGGGGCACGGATAAGGGATGGGGGTGCTGGGGGCTCCCCACAAATCCTCCCTCTCTGCCACACACAAACAGCTCCAGGAGCTGGGGGAATCTCAGGGCAGAGTATCTGGAATTCACTCTTAAATTCCTTTTTACAACTCCCTTTCCTTGGGGCTTTGCAGGGAAATGTCCCCCCAGACAAGCAGCTGATTTTACAGTCAGCTTCAGGATGCTGATTGTAAAATATCCTCGTGGCCCAGAAGGTTCAGTTTCACAATTTTCACAATTTCTGTAGGAATTTCCCCACAAAATAACTCATCCCAAGAGCTCCCAAGGTGGGTAAGAATCCTACCCAGGCAGAAGACAGAGGTTCCTTTCCACTGCCAATTAAGCAAGATCAAGATAATGAAATCAGCAAACACTAATGGAGCCAAACACATCACCAGATCCAGCCAGGAGCACAGGGCCGATTTAACTGGTGAGAAAGTGATGAGAGTTTAGGGAGGAGCCCCAAAAGGTGCCCAGGAGCTGTGCCAGGGGGCAGACTCTACCTTGGTGCTGTCCTCCAACGGAGATGAGGCTGAGCATGGGAGGAGCAGGGCACCTCTGGGCCACGGCCCTCCTGTGGGGAAGAGCAAAGAGAACACAAATTCACAGAATCAACAAGGTGGAAAAAAACCCAAAAAACAACAAAGTCCATGCCCCAACCCCTCAACTCAACCCCGGCACCCAGTGCCACATCCAGGCTTTGTCAAACACCCCCAGGGATGGAGACTCCAGCACCTCCCTGGGCAGAACATTCCAGAACTTCATCACCCTTTGTGTAAAAATCTTTTTCCTGATATCCAACCTAAATTCCCCCTGGTGCAGCTTGAGGCTGTGTGCTCTCATTCTGAGAGTTCTGTGTGGGCTCGGGCACTGGGATTTAGAGCAGGAAAACACAATCTGCCCCCTTGGAGCACTCCTGTGTCACTGTGATATTTTATGAAAAATCCCCTCACCAGGATTGCTTCTCCTAGGAAGCCTCAGCTTCATGTTTTGCTCCTCTGGAATGTGGTCTGGAGATGGTTTATCCAAACATGTGAATTGTTTTTAATTAATGGCCAATCACAGCCAGCTGTGTCGGACACTGAGTCTGTCACAGGTTTTTATCATCATTATTTTCTAG